AGCGTCCTACCTGATTTTTATCTGAAATAACTTTATTTGAAAAATATATAAAAATTTTATTATGGAGCATTGTGTGTGCATACACACACATATGCATTTTTCTTTCCCATGTTCTGAGTACTATTATGTGTTTTCAGCTGGTAGGAGCTAGTGTAGGAGACAGAATTGAATGTTCTTTGTCAGTGAGTGCTAGCCTACTCTGTACTGCAAATAGTCTCCACCAGTAGGCTCTCCGTGAATTGAGCATGTTGTCATGTATGTTGTTTAGAATGCTGTGGCCTTTCTGCCATGTATTTTGTGTGATAGTAGCAGTTTTGAGCCCTAATACTAACAAAATGTGTGCAAAAGATAGTGCTGTACCTACTGAAAAAAAAATAACTGGTATTGCATATGATGTTAAAATGCACATTCAGCAAGGGTCTTCAGGGTCCTTGAGCTTGAACATTATGAGCACCATCCTAAAGATGACTGTAGCCAGGGAGGAGTGGCTGTTGATGGAAGGAGGAGCGTCAGTGTGAGGCCTCTGTGAGTAGAGTTAAGTAGCACTCCCACTCCTAGGCAGGCACTGAGCTCTCCTGGCCCCTGCAAAATGGGTTTGTGTGTCCTTGGTAACCATAAAGGTAATGGTGTCACTCTTAACTTTTATATTTTTTTCATTTGATTGCTTAAATAATTGTAGGGAGTTGATGACAGTGGAGATGTTTTTAGAGCTACCTATGCAGCATTCAGATGTTCTCCTATTTCTGGTATACTAGAAAGCCGTGGAATTCGGAAGGTGAGTTTTGACATTTTTTTCATAGTAAGAACATGGTGTTGATTGACCAGGAGACCCTCATTTGTTTCCACCCAGAGTAGTTGCTTCAGCTAGACCAGTGCTGCTCTGCTAACAACCGGCTTGCCCCAGGAGAAGACCCACCTCAGTGCATGTCAGTGGACTGCTTCCTGCAGCAGAGGTCTTGCTTTCTAAACAGCTAAACAAAATGCCATGCTTAGTGGTAGGATTGATTTACATTCTGATATAAGCACTTCATGTGGCCACAGACTGCCAGTACTTACAACACACTTTGAGTAGCTCTAATCTAGACAGTAGTTTTGTCCACCAGCCGTAATAGAAAATTCTGCCACTGCTCCAAAACAACTGTGTTCATGTCATAGTCAACAGTATATCTTCATGGGCAAGTGGTGATGGATCTTTTTAGTACCATGACCCTCTTAAGTTCTAACTTATTTGTAGACCTGACATAGCTTTTTCAAATATCCCTTAGTGACACTAGTCATTCACTTGGCCTCAGTAATATGCTAACAGCTGAAACTCATTTAAACTATAGCACTTACATGGACGTTTGTCCATTTATTCAGAGATTCAGACTTGTAATCAGTTCTAGACTATAGTTGTGAACTCATTACTGACTATACAAGAATATTTGAGCAGTGATAGTCACAAACCCAGTACACTTTACTAGGTCTGTATAACAGGCTTCCAGGGGGTTTCTGACTTTTTTGGAAAGACATACCATTCTACAGCATAGTTTATTTCATTTCCCAGCCCACAGTAGCGGCAAAGCAGCATAATAGGGAATAGACACATTGCTTAACAAAAGTTCAACATCTGGGGCAAAGGCGGTGGGGGAAGGGTTGCAAAAAAAAAAAGCCAGCAGTAAAGACATCCCATGTTCATGGATCAGAAGATCTAACATTACTGAAATAGCAGTATTCCCTAAATTGATCTACAGATTCAGTATAATCTCAATCAAAAATCCCAGCTGGTGTTTGGTTTTTTGTTTGTTTTTTAAAGAAATTGACATGCTGATCCTAAAATTCATATAGATGTTCAAGAGAACCAGCATAACCAAAGCAATCTTGAAAAAGAACAAAGTTGGAGGATTCATACTTTTCATTTTCAAAACCATAGTAATCAAAACTATAGTATTGACATAAGGATAGACATATAGAATATGTGGAATAGACTTGAGGGTCCCCAAATAAACCCTCATATTTATCGTCAGTTGATTTTTTCAATAAGGGTACTGAGACAATTCAATAGGGAAAGAATATTTTCAACAAATGGTGCCAGGACAACTGATATCCACATGCAAAAGTATTAAGTTGGATCCTTACCTCACACCATATGCAAAAAGTAACTTGAAGTAGACCGTAGACCTAAAACTATAAAATTCCTGGAAGATAACATAAGTATTCATGACCTTGGGTTAGCCTTGGTTTCTTAGATATGACACCAGTGAAGCACAAGTGACAAAAGAAAAAATAGATGAATTATAAAAATGTAAAACTTGAGTGCATCAAAGGATACCGTGTGAAAAGGCATTCCAGATTATGGGAAAAAATGTTTAGAAATTATACATTTAATGAAGGATTTGTACCCAGAATGTGTAAAGAACTCATACAACTAGATAATACAAAGACAACCAGTTTATATTTTTTATTTTTATTTTTTTTAAAGATTTTATTTATTCATAAGAGAGAGGCAGAGGGAGAAGCAGGCTCCCCACCGAGCAGGGAGCCCAATGCGGGACTCGATCCCAGGACCCTGGGATCATGATCTGAGCTGAAGGCAGACGCTTAACCATCTGAGCCACCCAGGCGCCCCAAATAACCAGTTTAAAAAATGGGTAAAGATCTGAATAGAAATAAAGAGGGGCTCCTGGGTGGCTCAGTCGGTTAAGCGCCTTCCGCTCAGGCGTTCATCCCAGCATTCTGGGATCTAGCCCCGCATTGGGCTTTCTGCTCATCGGGGAGTCTGCTTCTCCATCTCCCTCTGCCCCTCCCCCCTACTCGTGCGCTGTTTCTCTGTCTCTCAGCTAAATAAATAAAATCTCCAGTGTTCAAATAAAAACATATACACAAGTGTTCATCGCAGCCTTATTCAAGATAGCCAAAAGAATAGAAATAACCCAAATGGCCATCACCTGATAGATGGATAAACAAAATGTATACCCATACAATGAAATATTACTTGGCAGTAAAAAGGAATGAAGTACTGATAACACGCTACCACATGAACCTTGAAAACATGCTAAGTGAAACAATCCAGACACAAAAGGCCATATATTATATGACTCAGTTTGTGTGAAATGTATAAAATAGGTAAATCTGTAGAGACAGAAAGTAGGTATGTGGTTGTTGGGGCTGGGAGTGAAGGTGGGGAGTGGGGAATGACTGCTGATGGCTATGGGGCTGGGGTTTTTTTGGATTGTTGAAAATACTTTAAAATCAGATTGTGGTGGTGGTTGCACAGTTCTGGAAATATACTAAAAACCCCTGACTACACTTGAAGTGGGTGAGTTGTATGGTATATGAGTTCTATCTCAGTGAAACTTTGAAAATAGAAAAACAAGGATGCAGGACTAGATTGTCTCCTGGGAATTTCTCCTTTCACACAGTACCTAACATAGAAATGAAACCTCTGTGAGATCTTTGATCTTTTTGTGTTCATCACTGCATGTCTTGGACTGAACTCATTGCTTACCACACTGTCAGGTCACATTTGTCAATTGAATTCCAGATCTGAGTACTTAATTTATATTAGGGGAGAAGAAAGCAAGGCACATCCTTCTGGGACCATTTAGGGAAATACTCCCCCAAAAGCACCACTATTGATGTATGTAACAGTGATCCAGAAGGAAGAAAACATTAGTTTGTTAGTTACCTATTTCTTACAATAATAGATGTACATAGTAATATTCTGAAACATTGGTCAGTTTGAATGGGATTAAATGAGCTAATGAATGTTAAAGTTCCTATTATGTGTCTACTGTGCGTCATATACAGTACTAGTAGGTTGTCCCCTCCTCTTTGTTTATTTTTGGTGTTGGAAGACAGTGTTTGGTGGGATTTGTAGAGTACATGGTACTATAATGCCCAGTGGTTCCAGATAATTCGTAGAGTTTCACCATTTAGGACATGGTTGTTTTTTTTTTCATTCTTTTTTCCTTGATCTTCACAGTGTCCACACCCTCTTTAACAGTGTAATTCCCTAATCTTGATGACCACCTCTCCTCCATCAGTATCCTGTCTTTGCCTCCACACCCTAAGACTTGCTGGCTGCATTGTTTCTTATGTTCTGTATTGACAGAAATTGGGTCATTTAACAGTTTTAATGTTAAGTCCAGACTCAGAGATACTGATTAGTGGTTAATGTAGCTAATAGTATTTTTAACACTGAATTCTTTGATAAAGGAAACACTTAACACTGGTAAACTTTATAAAATACTATTTTTAAATACGACAACTTTCTCATTACTGAGCTTTTTACAGGTTGTACGCATACAGTTCACATGTATAACTTTGAGGAGTGTGGTCGGTGTAACTGGTTTCAGGCCTCAGGCCTTTACTGCGTGGCCAGCAGAGGGTTCTATAAGCATTGCAATGAAAGACTGGATTGTGTTTCTGGGGTTGACCTTCCTCATTTAGGTCTTGTACTTGACAGCTCTAGAATTTTTTGGTAATGTAAATAGCATTTGCATTTTGAGGAATATGTTACACAGAGCCCTAAAGAAAAGTGTTATCTTGAATCTGGTATAATTTTCTACCAAAAGAATTGTTCAAATTCCTTTTCAGTTAGTGGCAAAACTAGCCTAGCCAGTGCTAAACCATATACCAACTATATGGTGTATGAGGCTTAGTGTCTAAATTTCTCCCCTGGATGTGTTGTTTTGTAGGTCTCCATCACTTTTTTGCCCAGGGATAGAGGGGCTTATGCTCAGTTTTGGGATGTTGAGTGTCACCCCCTTAAAGAGCCTCACATGAAACATACCCTGAGATTTCAACTCTCTGGACAAGTGAGTATTACATTGAACTTAAGTAAATTATTGTGTGTGTATATTAAAAACATTAAGTGAAACTGACATGGAAAACTGTCCTGAAAATGCAGACTGTTTTCCTGGTATTATTCTAATTTCATTAATTCTGTTGTCTGGCCCTGTAATCTTAATTTTCTCGTTTGGTTTTATTGATTGGCATGTTTGAGGTCTGGGTTTGGCTCTGAAATCTGTGTTTGACTTGATTAGGTAAGATTGTGTGTGTGTGTAAAAGAAGCTGAACAGTAAAAAATGGAAGGATTGCGGGAATTTAAAAATTTAAGTTTTCTTTTAAAAACTATGAAGGAAATAATAGAATTCAACATATTTTCCAAGAGTATTTATTTTTCCTTCCCCTACCCTGTGATTTTTTTTGTTTTTTATACAGAGTGTCAAAGCAGAAAATGAGTCTGAAAGTTCACACATTTCCACAAACTCCCTCATTAAACTAGATAATTTAGTTAAGCCCCGAAGACAAGCTGTATCAGAGGCTTCTGCTCCCATACCAGGGTATGTTGGTTTTGTCATTCTTACGACGTTTTTTCCAGTACTTTATTGAGATATAATTATATTCAGTAAAATGCTCAGTGACCTACATGCATTGCTTCCCCTCCAATCAAAATAGAGAATATTTCTCTCACCCAGAAAGCTCTTACATATCCCTTTGCAGTCAGCCCAGCCTTCACCCCAGATTTGTTCTGTTCTGATCTATTGCCAGAGGTTAGTTTTGTTGAATTTCATACTCATACACACTCCTTGAGTCTGGCTTCTTTCACCACACATGTTTTTGGGATTCATTTGTGTTACAGAGTATATATGTAGTTTGTCCCTTTTCATTGTTGAGTATTGCTTTATGTGAACATACCACAATTGATTCATTTTCCTGATGACGTTTGGGTGGCTTCTCATTTGGAGCCATTATAAGTGAAGGTGCTATGAACACTATTGTATGTGTACTTTTGTGGACATATTTTTAAATTTCTTTTGGATAAAAATACCTGAAGAGTAGAATTGCTGGGTCATATGGTAAGCATGTGTTTAACTTTAAAACAAACTGCCAAATAGTTTAACCAAAGTGACCATACCATTTTATGTTTCCAAAAACACTGTATGAAAGTAGATTCTTAAGAACTTTAATTTTTATTTTTTTAATAGTTTATTATATTTTTTAGTAATCTCTACACCCATTGTGGGGCTCGAACTCATGACCCCAAGATCAAGAGTCACGCATGCTCCTCCGACTGAGCCAGCCAGGCACCCCTTAAAACTTTTTAAAATGTGTTTTTTATACCAGCAGCTCACACAGCTCTAATTATAGTATTTAAGTATTTTACTTAATAAACATGTTTCTTACAATCCTTAATTAACTAATATTTAGATCTAACTTTGTTCTGGAGGAAGACACTTGTAAGAAAAATATATGTTAGGGGCGCCTGGGTGGCTCAGTTGTTAAGAAAAATATATGTTAAATACCTGCTAAATTTAATATACATGTTGTCATTTATTTTCTAATGGGAGTAAGTAATGCATTTTGTAAGAAATGAGGCTCCTTTAAAGATTATGTGTTCTAACCACACTCTTTTGATGCTACTTACTCATTTGTTCATCTCCTCTTTACGGAGCGCAATCATGTGCCAGGTAGCGGCGGCAAAACTGCCCTAGTCCTTGCCTCCAGGGACTTTATCTCCCAGAGAAAGAGCCACATCACAAATGGCTTTGTTACAACCCGTGGAAAGGACTGGAAGGAAATAAACGGGAAACATGGGAAACACGACAGAGGGAGCTTGATGTGTGCTACCCGGCAAGAGCCTCCCTGAAATGGGACCTTTAAGTTGAGGAGAATGAGTGGAAATGACGGAGGTGATGAGCATAGGAAAAGTTCCTGGCCTTTTAAGACCAGGTAGTGGGGATTGTTGGCCCTTGAGGAACCAAAGGCAGCATAGAGGCCTAGAGCCCAGAGGGAGGGAGAGTAGTGTGAGGTGAGGCCAGAGGGCTGGTGGGGAGAGGCAGACTGTGCAGGGCCTCGCATGTCACATGTTAAATTGGGGTTTATCTGGGAAGCTATTGGAAGCCATGAGTGACGTGATCAGATTTGAGTATTTATAGAAAAATCCTCTGGCTGTGGTACGGTCTGATTAGGAGGCAAGAGTAGATATGGTAAAATAAGTCAGAAGCTTTTTTTTTTAAAGATTTTACTTATTTGACAGAGAGAGACACAGCAAGAGAGGGAACACAAGCAGGGGGAGTGGGAGAGGGAGAAGCAGGCTTCCCGCCGAGCAGGGAGCCCGATGCAGGGCTCCATCCCAGGACCCTGGGAACACGACCTGAGCCGAAGGCAGATGCTTAACGACTGAGCCACCCAGGCGCCCCATCAGAAGCTATTTTTAAGTAGTCCAGGACTAAAGCAGTGTCAAGGAAGATGATGAGAAATGGATAGATCTGAGAGGTATATAGGAAGGAAATTTGAAGGACCTAGTGAATGGGTTGAGTAAGGGGGCTTGAGAGAGAAAGGGAGTCAAAGTTGGCTCCCAGACAGAAATACAAGTGGAGGGTCAGGTCTGAGAAGAAGGATCCCAGGTTTAGTCTGTATTTGTGGTGCCAGGTCACTGTGTGGTGATAGGCATGTTGCCCAGAAGTTCAGTGTGAGCTGAGAATGAATATCTGGGAGTCACACAGGGTTGGGGTTGCTGGAGCATCAAGCTGGGATTGCCTAGGGAGACTGCGGCTAGAGCAGTTAGGGATGTCCAGGGCCAAGCCACAGGGGACAGCAGCATTGGTGGTGAGGGAGTGGGGATGAGCCTGCACAGACTGAGCCTGGCATTTCAGCCACTGCCATCAAATGATGCCGAGAAGGCAGAGCTTGTGTCCCGCTGTAAGGGTAGTCTGTCCGGAAAAATGAAGATCATCCAGTGAAGTGAACTAAGGTGACAGGAGCACCTGCATGCACGTGGGGCGTGAGGCAAGTGGAGAGCCAGTCCCCAGGGAGAAAGGGGCAGAGGTGGTGCTGTCACCTGTGTCCTGTCCCATGTAGCAGCTGACCCTGCACGTTATCAGAGTACTATGCCGGGCGTTCTGTCTTGATACAGATTAATGAAGTTGCCATTACAGAACTAGCTTCCAGCTGAGTTGTGAGAGAAAATACAAATCAAAACACAAAACACTTCCTCGTTGAATATATATAAATTGTTTAAATTACTCTGGATTTTAAATAGTTGACTTTTAAGCCTGTTTCCAAAGCAGACAGCTTGACTTGACGCACCGCGGAGTTTATGCCCCAGAAGATGTGTACCGGTTTCTGCCTACTAGGGTTGGGGAATCAAGGACGTTGAAAGTCAACTTGCGAAATAATTCTTTCATTATGCACTCTGTAAGTTGGAAATAGTACTGGGGGTTTTGGGAAAGCGGATGTATTCAACTATTTGATAAATATTTTCCTGATAATTTAGAAGCTTGTTTTATAAATTATACTTTAAGTTATAATATTGAGTTAATTTTTTAAATGCCTTATACTGTATTTGAAAAGAAGCTCATGGGAAGTTCATGACCCTTTATCTGAAAATTGAAAATATTTGGCATTTGTTTTCATATTTTCATTTTTAATTTTTTTCTGAGTTTTCTTATTCTTCTGTACCATCACACCAATATATTTCTGGATAACATTTACTCTAGTCAGAACTAGAGTAAATTCATACTAGAATTATTTTAAATGTGTTTCCATGAGCATTTATTGTCTTACCTAATTTTGTGGCTATACTTAAATTTACTAAATACCTTTAATTAAAGAAATGCATGGTATGTTTTAAAGTGTGCTCAAATACCTAACTTGCATAACTTTAAATAAAGTGTTTCATATTAAATTCCAGCTCAAGTTTTTAAGTCCCAGAGAGCCTTTCTACGTCAAACATTCAAAATATTCTTTGAGGTGAGTTTATCGTAAATCAAAATGTTCTCATCCTAGTGCAGGACTGTTTTCAGGACTTCAGGATTTCTCCTGGGAGTTGGGACTTGTGAACTCTCCCCACCTCCATTATAGCCCCTCATCTCCATCATCAGCACCACAGAGCATTCCTTGTCAATTAAAAAAGAGCTGAGGAACCTGCCAGGAAAGCATTTCATGACTGCTTTACTATCTGGCAACCCAAATTTTGTGAGAGGTTTTGGATTTAGCATGTGATTCCTGTTACCAGGTATTTTGTCCATCACATAAGTACATAGAACATTAATTATCTTGTGATTTAGAATAATTTCTTCTTCTTTTTTTTTTTAAAGATTTTATTTATTTATTTATTTGACAGAGAACACAAGCAAGGGGAGTGGGAGAGGGTTCTAGAAGCAGGCTTCCCGCTGAGCAGGGAGTCTGATGCGGGGCTCAATCCCAGGACCCTGGCAGACACCCAATGACTGAGCCACCCAGGCACCCCTAGAATAATTTTTTCTTTAAATGTTATTTTCACTATGCTAAGGATCAGGGAGTTAAATTTTCAATAATTACGACAAAAACCTTCCCAGATTAATTGGGAAACTTTAATACGATATTTTTCCAGTTGTCATTCTTCAAATACCTGTACTTTTTTTAAGATTTATTTGAGAGAGAGAGAGAGAGAGCACAAGCTGGGGGAAGGGGTAGAGGGAGAGGGAGAAGCAGGCTCCCCGCTGAGCAGGGAGCCTGATATGGGGCTTTGGGATCATGACCTGAACCAAAGGCAGATGCTTAACCGACTGAGCCACCCAGGCATCCCGAAATACCCTATTCTTCTTAAACCAGGGCCTTGTTTTCTTGTCATCCTTGCTACTTTTTGTTTTCCGTATGATCTACATTTATTTTTTTTTATATGATATATATTTAGATTGAAATCTCAAACTGTGTTGTCACTGTTATTTAGAATTTTAATAGTAGGGTTCTATCAGACTTAACACTGAAGAATAATTTTATCTCCATCTTTGAATTTTTAATTAAGCCATTTAATTAACTATAAACTCTTTTATTTTAGTATTAGGTGATTCCAAAAATATGTTCTGTTCCATGAAAACTTGGACCACCCTGTAAACATTCTAGGACTGCCTCTGAGGCACTAAGACTAGCAGAGCCATACTCTGGAAGGTTACCCGTATCTCTAGATACTGAAAAGATGCTGTGGGGGGAGGCCTGTTCCCTCACCTCTTTCTCTTTTCTGTCTTCATCTCTTCCACCTCCCCTCCCAGCCTCCACCCTGTAAAACCTGATCTTCATGTACTTGAGGGCCCAGCACTTCCTTTGCCTCCCAGGGCCTGACCTAAGAGCATAAACTGCAAATTAAACAATGAATGTAGCTAGAAAGTTATCATAGGCCTCATCTCTCTAAGCCTTGGTTTCCTGATCTGTGAAAGAGAGATGACAATGCTCCTGGCAGCATGGGCTCGTTAGGAGAAGGACGTAAGCGATGTGCAGGTGTGCGCGCCTAGCCCTGGGAGGCACTCGGCAGGCAGTAGCGTCTTTGGCAGAACTGACAACACCTTCCTTTCAGCGGGCCTTACCGGCAGGGTCCATCAGGACCACCGACCCCATGGATTAGAATGGAACACCATTTTTGTGTCCGTGCTTTTCCTTTAATCCCTTCAACAGCCACATGGAAGAGAAAGGCCTAAGTTTTAAAAAGCCACTAACCACATGTTTTCTAGCTTCTGTACTCTGAGTCCCTGACTCCCAGCAGCCTGTGGGCCTCCAATTAATGAGACTTTGCCCTACTGATTCAGGACTGGTGATGTTAGACTGTGTGTCACAGTAGGTGGGCACTGCTAAATACATGAGTAAGAAGACCAAGTGAAGTAAACCCCGGCTCATAGAAAACTTCTCTCAAGACCCCTCCATAGGCTGCAAGTTTACAGAAAGTTAGGCAGAAAAGCTGATTTCTTTGTACTCCATAAGAATGACTTCTTTCAACTTTGGAGAAGAAGCAAAACTTTGCCACAGTATCTCACTTGAAAATTTTTACCACAAAACTGAAATAGGTGCTGCCTGTTCTTCTTGTAAGTGTTGAGTGCTTTTGTATTTATCCCACTTTGATTTTGGACAGGGACTCATGAACTACAAATGCTGGTTGAGAGCAACGGTTAGCTTGCTTTGGCAGCTGAACAAAATCTGTTCTGAGAATCTGAGAAGCAGTTCCCAGCTTTTCATTAGTGATGTTTTTGTTCATTAGATCACTCTCTGCTCTATGACACCATGAACTCCAGCCTTCCAGAGTAATAATGTGACTTTAGTCATCTGTAGTGTACATGAGGTAATCCGTGCCTTACTTCAAATAGGGCAGTTGTGAGGCCTGATGGGGCTGCTCTGGGTAGTTCTTGCACTAAAATGTGAAAGCGGCCCGAGGCCTTTGGGATATAAACTGACTGCCACTTAAATAGGAGAGCTTCCCCCAGAGGCCACAGGGGTTTTGCCTGGTTCAGAGGGGGGGAGCATGAGTGTGTGTTGGGGATATAGCCCCCTTAAAGCAATAGATTATAAAGAAGGTATTAGGAAAAAGGAAACCCTGATTATCCATTTTTTTGTAAAGTTTGTTTTGGGGGCTCTAGGTGATCATTTCTGTCCTATCTCTGTAAAAAGAATTTGTTTATGTTCCCACTTAGCCCTGAAAAGCGTTCTTCTGTTAGTCTATTGTTTTATTCAAGTCTAATCTGCTGAGACGTTATAGTAGCGCATCTCCGGTGTCCCATGCCCATGTCTGCATGCACCCCGCCTCCTAGCCTCCTGCTGCTGAGCTGCCAGACCCTGTGTCATTCTGGAGGGAAGGACGCTTCTCAGCCAAAGTCACAGCCAGGGACAGCGCTGTCACTGAGCCGTCATTACTTCTTACCAACATGCAGGAACCAAGGAGTTTGTCACTTCTTTTTAATTTCTTTGATAATGATGGTACCTCAGCTGTGCTGACGGGCTACTTTTTTCCTACACAGAGTATTCCTTTACAATTAAAAAAAAAAGGAAGGAAATCTGGTTTATAGACTTCATAGGTCCTGTAGATGGGGTCATGTAGTTAGGAGGTGGTCTAGAGCAATCTTCCACAAACACTGCCTCACTCTCGGCTGTGTCTTTGCTCTAACGTTACTCCTCAGATAGTAAGGGATTTTGAACTAGACCTCTCCCCTGGGTTCAGCATACTTTACTCTTACCTTTTCCCTTTTAAGCGTGTGTGTGTGTAGAGGAGAGAGAAAGGTTAAAGCAGTTTTTAATAATAGTACATGTACTATGTTAAATATATCCATCTTTTAGTATTCTAGAGCTGTGTTAAATTGCAGTTATATTTTTTTTAATTTTATTTTATTATGTTAGTCACCACACAGTACATCATTAGTTTTTGATGTAGTGATCCACAATTCATTGTTTTC